TGCGTAATAAATCTCGTTTCAATGCTGCGTAGACGGCGTTAACGTTAACTGCGAATATAAACTGGGCGAAATACGCGCGCGGAAGAGAAGCCATCCAACCACGTGGTCATGCCTTGACGAATACGACGAACCGTATAACCTCTCGTACGGAAAACGATGTATATGGTTCGTGTCTATGAATATTCAATCGGACGTGTTCAGTGTACAATTATTCGCGTCGTTTCGAAAGATACAAATTAGTACCTATTTGTTCCCTTTCACTATCTCAACCGGTTCATCTACGTGCACAATGAGCGAACGGAATACAAACGGTACATTTTTAATAACGGGAGAAATACCGATATGCTGGTATGACATTTCAATCTGCACTTTTATAAGAGAAAGCACGCCCACGCGTGTATAACAGGTCCTATGATCTAGCGCAGTGTTTCTCAACCTTTTTTTTTTGCTAGTGGCGCCCTCTTTTTGGTCGCGTTTCTTCCTGTAGCCTCCACCCGTCGTGATTATCGTCGATCGATGCAAAAATAGTTCGTTGATTTATTTAGTTTACTTGTAATATGCAATGTTATGTAATAAAATTAATAACAAGTTCTAGATAATTTTTTTTTACTTCGATACGTATTTAATATCGGAGTTATGAAACACGTCGATTTGACGGGTTTTAGATTTTCCATATCCACATCTTTCATCGGAGAGACCCATATAGTTGAGAATCCCTGTTCTACTAGCACATTCGATACCGCTCGCGCGATTTATAAGGCAATACATCACTCGGCATAAATTACCATATTAACTAACCGGCGGAGGTGTCCCGAGCAGGTCGCCTAAACGTCCCAATCTCGAATTAAGGCGAATCGTAATTTTACATCGATGTTGTATCACAGGTGTCGTACAACACACGGTCGAACAGCAAGGCGTGATTCCAACAAGGCAACATTTAGGCAACATGTCGCATTTGCATCACCCACTATGAACAACGAGTTCTGTTCGATACTTATTCTATTCTCTATTATGCTCTATATAGAGTTAAATAATTTTACATTTGTTGGTATTGTGTCACGAAATGGTTCGTGATAAAGGTGAAAAACCTAACCCTACATTACAATGATTTTCGAGCCCCGAGTACGAGTCGCGTAGTGTTGCCTCGATGGAATCACGCCTTTACGAATACTGCGCCTCGATTCCGTGTTAAAAACATAGGGTTAATCTTTCGTCGTATCGTAACGGACTATTCATTCGATATATACTATTGTTTCACGACATAATGGTCTGCCTGCGGTCGGTAGTTACTGGATTTACGATGCAAACCTGTCAGGGGGGAATAAAATTGCAAAATCCATATACCGTGAACGTTTACGGGCTACGAAACTACGCGCTTGTACATTTCGATGCAAACGAACTGTTCGTCGAGGGATGTTTAAAAATCTGATACGGAAATATTAATCGAGCCGCACCAATATCGAGCGACATCGAGCTACGAAACGATTGATCGATATGATTATTTCTGAACGCTGTTCGCGCAGCTTCGGTACGGTTGAAAAATTGGTTTACACGGTTCGTACGCTTTCGGCGAATGTTTGCTGATCGAAGGCACCGCAAACGTGTTCGCGAGAGAATCTACCAGTAGGTAAGAAAGAGACATATGGACGATACGGCAAGAACGCGGAACGGGCACTGTCCTGGAGAAGCTGACGCCGCACGATACGGGCATTTCGTCGTTTTCACGCAACCGTGCCGATGCCCAATTACCGGAACAATGATCGACCCGTGTCGCAACAGTAAAATCCGTTGCAACCGTGTCACGGTTTATATCCCGAATCGTCGAAATCGTCCGTAAACAAATTTCCTGGTGCGGCCGTTACGTCAACGACGTTCCGGGAAAACGTACGCGCGTCACGCGGCGCGTTCAAACACGCCGAAAATCGTTTAGCGGTTATGTTTGTTCAAAGTGTCGCGAATTTACCGACACAGCAGCCCAGCCAGCCAGCAGCAGCAGCACGGGTTCAGGAATTCAGATCCGGCCGTGACAGAGGGGTGAATGCTCTGTTTCTGGTTGAACGCCGTCACCGGGCGTGCATGCGACGCGAAATCACACTGAGAGAAACACAGCGCGCGAGAAGTAAGGTCGTACGGATCAAGCGAGGGATTGTGACAGGCACGCGCGAAACGAAACTTACACTTGATCAGGATGACACCGTTATGCTGCTCCTCCATCTCGCGGAGGCGAGCGATCTATCTCGCGTATCGTCCTCCAGGTTAAACCACCGACGATTCCTTTATCGAGCACACCGGGGGATTCGTATCACTCGCGTCGCGGCAACGTGCTCGCGAACAGTGCTGGACGGCGGACCGACATACGCGACCGAGCCTGGCGCGCCGCTCGGGTTTTCCAAAAAAGAGCCGCGTCCGCGTAACGACACTCGTACCAATGGCCAACGAACGAATCACGACGCACACGTGCTCGCACGGCGGCTGACCGCGAGCATAATTAATATCGCGGCGTGCACCGATAAGAATGCGTCGTACCGTCCGACAAAGAAACGCCACCGAAACCGAGTAAACATGGCCGTGCGCGCGCGCCTCTCTGGCTCTCCGTGGCCCGCGGAGCCGTCACGCACTGAGGGAGGTTGCATGGAAACGAAGGGTACGGAGGAGAGATAGAACGGGACAGAGGTATACGGAGGTTGCGACGACCGACTGAAAAGAGACGCGCGGGAGAGAGAATGGAACAGAGAGGGTGCTGCAGGCTGCAAACGAGAGAGAAAGTTAGAGAGAATGAAAGAGTGAACGGCTGGCGTGGAGAGGAAGCGGGAAAAAGAGAGACCGACAGGCCGGTTATTGAAAGACAAAGATAAAACCCAGGGCCGACTCTAGCCCGTAGGGCAACCAGTCACCGAACATGCTGCGTCGTGCTTTAGGGGGCGCTCACTTTCAACAAGCGAATTATTATTAATTTTTATCGTTTTCTTCTAACTAATGTGGGATCTTTAACTTGAGGCGATATAGTCCGAAATTTAATTAACTTCCACAAACACTTTTTGGTCAGAATCTAACATAAATATAACACGATCTCTTGTCGCTCGATACGTTTATGCACCGATATAGTTCGACTTTTACTTCCAACAGTTTCGACCAGAACTTTTGTATAACGATATGAAACAATTATTTTCGGAACCTTTCAAGCTCTGCTGCATACCCTCGAGCCGGCCCTGATAAACGAGTGAGAGTGGATTACACGTTTCTGAGAGTAGCAACGGAAGAAGCGAGAGGCAAAAGAGAAGAAGAGGGTACGACCGTCGTAGAGAAAGGAAAACAGAGACCGCCTCATCGTTTTGTGGTAGTTCGTCGGAACGACCACCAAGCGGCGCCACTTTGAACGCTCGCCACGGTCGTGTTGAATTTATGCTGCTTGGACGGCCCTGGTAAAGTGCGATCCTCTGACCTGGGGCATTGTTAAACAGTAAAAGCATGTGGCAGCTGGACTCCAAGGGCTCTCGTTCGAGATGTATACCTAGCTTTTCTGTATTCAACGAACCGGAAACGTAGGAAATTCTGAGAAAAACTTGGAACGGCAAAAGGAAATCGTCTTGCATTCATCCCCCAGGGGAAAACTCAAAATCTAAACATACTCGTATTTAGCGCGTAGTAGTAACCTTTACCATTTCTTTGCTCGTACAGCAACGAGTGTATAAATCGCGTTACGTACCAATGTATATTTAACTGTATGTTTGCATACCAACATTATCAGATTTATCGACGTCATATTTTCACGAGACTAAACACGTCGATCTCGCGTCGAGAACCTAGTGGGACTTGAAACTGTGCATGCGCCTATGGCCCAGCGAGTGAAAGAATCGACTTGGCTAGGGAAAGAGGTTCCAAGAACGAGGGCCCCCACCTCTCTTCGGTCCTGTTGCTACTTCAATTGAATGCTGTCGCACTCTGAGCATCTGTACTGCTCGGCCAAGGTAGTAAGATGTGGGGGAGTTTCCCCCGACGCGACAAGCGGCGGGAGGTCACCCAAGTCGATAATTTAAACGCGATTATGGAAACTGAAATTTGTCAGGAGAACAAATGTTGCGAAGCGTGCATTGTTTGTAACTCGTGACACATAGAAAACCCAATGTAAGCAACATGTTGACACACAAAGAATGCTTACAAATGTGAAATATGACGCGATTCGGAAGTCCATGCATTTTGCTGCGTGCGCAAAATACGTTCGCTACGAAAAACTGGACGCGATATCGCACGAGCATGAATGTAACCCAAGTATAACGTTAAGGTGATGCACATATAGCATTACAAATCTATCTAAAAAAATATTGAATTTTCATTTAACCTTAACAAAAATACGTAACGATAAACCAAATTTCTGCAATGCTGTTCGAACCGCATTACGAAACGATCCGAGCGAGCCATCTAGCAGAAATAAAAGTTTCGGCCAAGATTAAAATATGTCGCTTGAATGGCGTTGCCAAAGGGGCAAATAGCCAAGACTGCAAGTTACTTGTATTTATGGAAATTTTCTTCAAGTTCGATCTTGGCAACACTGTACTCGATGCATCACCACTGCTCTAACCTTCTATTTCAGACAAATACATACCGTTTGCCCGATCCGCGCGTAAAGTTTTAGCTAAACGTTCGAGACGAAAAGGATTTAACGAGGGACATTGTTAAACACGCGCGAGGTTGTACAGTTTTGGCAGACGATCGATGGATGCATCGATATGCACATGGTAGGACTCCTGTGGTCGATAACGCAGCGAATTGGAGGGAACGGAGGACGAACGGTTGGTCGAGCAAGAGGAAAAAGAGCTGTTGCGTAGCTCTAATGGGAGATGGCGACGCGGTTTGTTTTCCTTTCTTGGTTGGCACGCACCCAAAGAACGGCCGGTTATACGCGTTGTCCACGGACAAACTCCGCGTATATACCGTCCAAGTATCGTGTCCCCACCAAATCTATGTTTGCAGCTTCCACCGCGGCGGTAGCAGCCCGGTACTCCACGTACTCCCCTCTAGTTCTCGGTGTAGACTGAAACCAGGTCTAGATTTTAGTACGCATCAGAATCTCGACTATGAGGAGGTTTCACACGGGCGATCGCATCCTCGGTAGATTCTTATCGAACAGCCAACATGACGCAGGCTTCACAGCAGACGAAATTTCGATGTGAGTTTCTGACTTGAACGGAAAAATGCTCTCGGTGTCTCTCGATGAACACGTGTACGAATATTTACTTCTCTCTTTTGTGCCTCGTTATCGAGTTATCGTTACAGTCGACGATTGCGCGAAGTAGACGGAAAAATTTTTCCGCGCAGCACACCATCGACGTGCTTTCCCTTCGTTTCACGTTTTGATAGTCCCGCGTGCACGCATACGTCAGTGACGGGTAATCCATTTTGCTACGTAGATCCACAGTGATACGCAAGTGCGAGTCGTATTCGTCTCTCCTTGCGTCATCGTCCCCGTAATACTAGCTTTGTGTCGGTCTGAACTTTGCCATCTTCCATTGCTCGATTCAGACCATTCCGTGATCTCGTTTAAAATGTTCACGAAACCTTTTATCGGGATATTTTCGTTCTTTCCGTCGCGTTTCCCACTGATTTCGACGTTGTCCCTCGTGTACATTCTTTGTTAACACTCGGTCGACTCGAACGTGTACAATTACACTCTACATGTTGCATTATCGGCAGGACGCGTAGTTCTTCCTTCGCGTACAGAATGCGTGATTCGACGGAATAAAATTCCGCGCAAATAAAAATACGCATGGAGTATTTCATTCACGTTTTCCATTATTTCTCTCGTGTAAAGGTACTCCGTTGTAATCGATTTCTATTTTTACGTTTCAATCTTGTATTCGATGCTCCGCGTTCCGTGTCTAACGGAATTTTTTTTTACCAGCTGGAAACAAGGTTCGCGCATACGAGCATCGGATCCTGCCTAACCTCCTCGCGGCTTTTACATCGTTTCGTAAATAAATGGTCGGACAATATAATAATTGTATTTGCACAATCGTCGATCGTAGCGCTGAGGCAATTCGCGGCGTTTCATCGAAACGGACAACTAACAGCGGTTATAGAGACTCGTCTAAATATCCAATTAAGAGATCTTTCAGAAATCGACCTAGATAGCAACGGCCACGTTACTCACGGTCGCAACGTTCCGTTCGCGCGCGCAACTGAATCGTTATTCCCGTTCTTACAATCGGGCTACGTCGATGCACACGAACGACTCAAAGAAATGCATAATGGAATGCGCCTAACGCCCGCGCCCTCATCCACGTGTACCCGCGGTATTAACCCTTTGTTGTGAATAATTTTTTATACATAATTTATTAGAAGTAGTATTATAAACACTTTGGAATAAAAATATTTCGAAAAGTGGATTCCTCCTACTTAAATTCTTGTTCCCTTGTTACTATTTTTACGGCGACAATTGACCGTCACGAAGTCGGCGACATTCCAGCAGCATTATAATAAGCGTCTAATAGAGGATTAGTCGCCACGGGAATGCGATAATAATCGCTAGTCACGCAGGTAGCCACAGACAGTACACCTCCGCCCCTTTTACGAATGTCTACAGGGACCGAGAATCTCACCTGCCGGTTCATTCAGCTCAGAAAGGAAAATGGAAAGCTCTTTACTGGCCGCAAATATTCCGCCCAGGCAGGATGGGAGTAAGTATACGGCCATCATTTAAACACAGCTTCGTTTTCTGCGTTTCCTTTTTGCTCGGAACAAAGATGGTTTCGAGGGTCACGCCGGGTAGCCTTGGGAGAGAATTTCAACCATCCTAGCGCATATTACCAAGAATTGCTATCTAGGATCACAGTCTTACAATGGTATTTTCAAATTTTTTATCCGCTAAAAATTGTTATTTAGTAACAGTTATTATTTAGTAACTGTTGCAAGAACTTAAACTTATATTACAACAGTTTTCAAGTCTCGATTTATACAGGGTGTTCGGCCAAACCTGGGAAAAATTTTAATGGGAGATTTTAGAGCCCAAAATAAGACGAAAATCGCTTTCTTTCTAATCGATAACTAATAAAAATAACCAACTCGAATAATAAATAAACGAAAATTCGAAAATGTTCAGAGACCGCTGCCTGGCATCAATTGCAATATCTTGTATCGCCGGAACGGAAACGGAAATGCACAACGGAGAATTGCATCCAGCCGGCGGCCATGCATTTGTTACTTATCGAACGTTCGTCTTCGACGTTAACGCTATCGCGCGAAACGTACGCGCCCGATAAGAGCAAAACAATATGCCGATTTGATTCTCTCTCGCGAACAGTGTCCCCAGTGTTCGTTTCTCGAAATCCCTCCCCCTTCTCCCACATAGAAGCGAAGTCATAACAAAGTAAATTCAATATACAGGGTGTTCAACCACCCCTGGGGAAAATTTTAATGGCAGATTCTAGAAGCTAAAATAATCAATTTTTTGACTGAGGCTTCATTAAAAAATTAAATTAAAAAATTTCAAATCATTCTGAAAAAATTATTTTTGCTCGCGGGGCTCAATTGCAATCATTTTTGGCGAATACACATAACCCTGATATCCTACCCAATTTCGAGAAAAAAATTCGAATAAGTACTGAAATTTTAGGCGAAATTAAAAAGTTTCAAATGATACTAAAAAAATTATATTTAGTTACAGGGGTTAATTACAAGCATTTTTGGTGAATACACATACCCCTGAAATCCTATCCAATTTTGAGAAAAAAATTCGAGTAGGTACTGAAATTTTAGGCGAAATTAAAAAATTTCAAATGATACTAAAAAAATTATATTTAGTTACAGGGGTTAATTACAAGCATTTTTGGTGAATACACATACCCCTGAAATCCTACCCAATTTCGACAAAAAAATTCGAGTAGGTACTGAAATTTTTAGGCGAAAAAAAAATTTCTTTCAGGCATCTTTTTCTATTTTTTTTTAACACGTAAAATGTTAAAAAGAAATCTGTATAGGGCTTATGAATTGACGTATCAAGAACATACTAATGTGTTTCGTTTTTAATCGACCATCCTTTGATATAACGCAAGAGGACTTTTAATAAATAAATAAAGAAACTTACATATATTTTTATACGAAGCTTCATCGTTCTCGAGAAAATCGAATTTTTCTGCCTCCTGTTTTTCCTTTCACCGTATTATTACCAGTACGATGGGAATAATAATTATTATAAACGATTCTGATAATTTGAAACCGATAACAAGAAAGATAAGAGAAATGTCGGAGAACAATGCACGACTTTGTATTCCGGTTTTGTTTCGGTTTTGCAGATACATACTGCAACAGATGCGGGAGGAGTTTCCCACCATTATGGCTAACGTACACTACAGGGTGCTGAAGAAGAAATGGTCCAACCTGTTGCAGCAGTACAAAGTGAGACGAGGCAGATGTCTTTTATTATTTCGCGATTAACCGCGATCGCGTTTATTCGCGCGCGATGTTAGTTTGCTTTCCGGATCTCTCGTTTGCGTTTCATCCTCCTCCATGCACGAAGGATAATAAACGTGTTCCCCCCCCGTGGACAGACAAAATCTACCAAACCTAACCTCTCTATACGAAAACCGACGGTTCGAGTTGTCGCTCGACATTCGATACGACGTCGACGTTTGCGAGAACGTTCTTTCAAGAAAATATCGATTTCTTAGCCGCGTGAAATAAGTATAGAAAGTATATGTTCGGCCACACCTGGGAAAAATTTTAATGAGGCATTCTAGAGGCCAAAATAAGACGAAAATCAAGAATACCAATTTGTTGATGGAGGCTTCGTTAAAAAGTTATTAACAATTCAATTCAAAAATTTCAAATCGTTCTGGAAAAATTATTTTCGGTTGCGGGGGTCAATTACAATCATTTTTGGTGAATAGACATACCCCCGAAATCCTACCTACTTTCTAGAAAAAAATTCGAGAAGGTGTGAAGTTTTTCGACAAAATTAAAGAATTTCAAATCGTATTAGAAAAATTATTTTCAATTGCGGGGGTCAATTACAATCATTTTTGGTGAATAGACATACCCCCGAAATCCTACTCACTTTCTAGAAAAAAATTCGAGAAGGTATGAAATTTTTCGACAAAATTAAAAAATTTCAAATCGTTTTAGAAAAATTATTTTCGGTTGCGGTGGTCAATTACAATCATTTTTGGTGAATAGACATACCCCCGAAATCCTGCACATTTTCGAGAAAAAAATTCAGTACTGGCGGAACTTTAAATGTTAATAACTTTTTAACAAAGCCTCCATCAATAAATTGGTATTCTTGATTTTCGTCTTATTTTGGCCTCTAGAATCCCTCATTAAAATTTTTCACAGGGGTGGCCGATCACCCTGTATACTCGGTGGGACGAAAATCAGTAAACCGGCAGGCACGCGAGGAACGCGACGGTTCAGCAACGAATGGCGTGTGGATACACGGTAACACTTGCACGCATACATACGTACACGTACAAATACAGATCACACGGGACACGATCGAGCACGACTCGCTTAGCTCTCGTCCTGTTACTATGCATCTGCCACAGCGATCTGTTGAAGGAACTGAGGAACCCGGTACACGGAGACAGAAACAAGGCGGACGACGTCTCTTGGCCCTTTTACAGCGCGATCGACGAGCTCCTGGGACACGACCGCGGCGGAACGCCGAATCACGACGAGTACATCGATCCCCACGAATTCCTCTGCGTATCCGTGACGCCGGAAGAGCCCACATCCTCGGTGGACGCGCTTCCTGTCGGATCTGACCCGGAAATCGAGCGACGAGATGTCGATTTCCACCCCGAACAACGGCTACGGACGTTCAGCGACGACTCGATTCAAATCGAACGACTACCGTCGCGCGGAACCACCAGGTATGTTTGCAGGAAGCACGAAATGATTCCAACGAAAGACAAAAATTTTGCTCTTCAAATTGACTCGTAAATTTGCCAGTAGTCGATATATAAAATGATTAGAAAATAATTTTGTGGCGTTGACTCCCATGCTCGCCGCCAGAGGGCTCGCGCTCTCACAAGCGCCTTTTCTGTCCTCCTACGATTCTCACGAGATTCTAACAGCAGCGCCACAATTTATTAAAAATAATAACGCGCAGGTTAAATTTTCATTGTGGCTTTTTGTCGTTCTCGAGCGTCGCGCGATTTACGTAATCTGTCTGTTTCAGCGACGTCGTCAGAAAAACCAAAGACCCGTCGGTTTTCAAGCAAACGAGCAGAAGTTACGCGAGAAGGAAACGCGAGCCGAGGAGTGTGCTGATGCCGCGGTTGCCGCGCGCCACGGAGCTCACGATCAGGAAAGTGACGTCGGAGGCGGACTACACTAAGGACTTGTCGAGGGTACGGGGAAACGACGTCGTCGATTCCACCAGAGACAAAGGACAAGCGGCCGAGGCGCGTAACGAGGATGAGGAAAGACCAAGAAAGTCGAGGAGAACGCGAGCCCCGTATCGCGAGGATCACGAGTCACGGACCGATCGTCGTATCGAGCAGATCTTCGAGTATATCAAACGACGGGACGAGGAGAATAGATCCATCATGATCCGAGTGATGCACGCCGTGGAGACCATGGCCAATAAGCTGTGACGCAGCTCTACCGAAGAAGGATCACATTCAAATACATTTATTTCCTTTTCCCCCTGGAATGGCTATGTAATCGATCGATTAATGTACCACGGGTTTAACTGTAAATTATACTTTATAAGGTGTCTCTTTTAATAAACGATGTTGGTATTACGTTACGACTACTTCTTTGAAAATATTAATATCGAATTTTCTACGAGAAGATATAAAATATTTTTAGGTTTACCTGTACGAGTATATTCAAACGTGACTCGAAGTACCTGTATTATTCAATGAATTCTATAGGAAATCGTGTTTACCGTGAATCGTTTAAAATTGTAACAGAGTCGACTTGCTTCTGTGTAAAAAACAGATACAGATTTATTTCCGAAACTAATGAAAGAACCATGCAATTGTATTGAGTGCGACGGGAGGAAACCAGAATAAACCAAGTTAGTTACGGTGGCCGCCGCGAGGCGCCACCGACCCGAGAAACCACTCGAGATTACGTTTCTTATGGCCGTGGTTCATTCAGCGTCGATGCAAGTGTTGCGACGTAAAAAAAAAAAGTCGACGATCACGAGCGAAAAGAAACGACGGAATCGATCGATCGTAGAGTTACTCAAAGGCAAGAGAATCACGGTATCGAGGTAGATCGATTACGATACGAATATTACACGCTGTCGAAACGAATACCAATAAAGTATCGCGATAATAGCGCGAGCCAGCCTCGTCTGGCGCCTTTCTCTCGGTTCATAATGCGTTTAGCCTTCTTTCGATGCTTTTCGCATACCTTCATTCTTACCAACAGTTTCGTGTTCCTTTCAACTGCTATCGCGCTGAAACTGTTGCATTGTTGCTTTCGAAGGAAGCCTGCTTCTTTCCCTGGCAATTAAACGCATTCTGCTACGCAGTCCGTTCAAACGTTTACGTTGGTTGAAACGGTATTCGATTTTTCGTAGAACGGAAAACACAACGATAAGATTTATCTTTTCAATTCCACGGCGATCGCGTATTTTATTGAATTCCCGTTTTACGACAGAAGCTAATTGCGTATGGTATTGATGTTGCTCGGGAAACGATTATCGATATCATTACCGTTCGATGTTTTCACCGCGATTACAGAGTTCGTCGACTTTGCCTTGAAATTCCGTGAAGAGTCCAATATCCGGTGACTACCACAAAGCTGGCATTGTTTCGAGCGCTAGACGAGTGTCCTTCGAGTTCGGTGGAGAGATTAGGGTAGGCCCGAGGCGTTCGAGAATCTCGATGGGATCCCGGAAACCATATGGCCGACTATTTAAGAGACTGCTCTTTTCTGAACATCTGCCCACGAACCCTCCGACGATTCTACGTTTACAATCTCGACGCGCCATCGTTAGAATTTATCGTCGTAAAAAGAAAAAAGTATATGATTCTCGTCGGAACATCCTAGACGCGGTATAATTGAAAATAGAGGCGACAGAAAATTTATTACGTGTCAAAACGATCCCGAGGGTCGAGCAAAGCCGCGTTTTCGCGCATAGTTTTATGAAAGTGTTAAGACACCCTGTATAGCAAGCTCAAAATCCGCCAGAGTCGTGGACCGAGCGGAGAGTGACCGAGGGAGAGAGAGAGATTAAAACATCGAGAGAGAAGAACGTGCACGTGGTCTCGCATCTGCTTCTCCACCGAGTGACCCCGCAACTGACCCCTTCCAAGTACCAATAATTAACTCTGTTCGTGCGCCAAATGCACACGAGCGCACGGGACCAAACGCTTGCGTCATACCCCCGCCGGCCAGTGTTCCCATGAAAGAAAGGCCCGTACATACTTGTGCAGTTATGCGCGACAAAGGGCCATGAAATAAACGGACAAAAGGTGGCCCGACGATCTGAACGCGTGTTGCGTGGCGTTCGGTCCTTACGCGCTCCACGATTGATCGCCATTTGCAATATTACAACGGGCACGCTGCCTACACGTCACGATACACGATAATTAATTGGGTCATCGACGGTCGAATAACTTCACCGATCGGTAAGGTGTTCGATAACTTGAATGCTCTGATATGTTTGACCACCGTGATCGTTGTAATAGACAAAGTTATGTTAAAAATTAAGAGAAAGAAAAAAGAAGTGGTTTGGGGCCTTAACCCCTTGCCTTACGGATTGGCCCGGTAGACTTATCACGTCTCTGAGACGTCATGGTAAGCTAAGGGGTTCAAGTTACCACCGACGAGTCGAACATTGGCCACCTGCGACAACACGCCCTCTATACGCGTGATATAATCTCTGCTATTACTACTGTTCAAGACATTCTGCGTTGGTCGCGCATCACCGATGGTGTCGAGGTTCGCATGCTTCTCGAGACACTTGCGGAAAAAGAACGGCACACCTGGACGTCTCTTTCTTTCCTTCATTCGGTTCGTAGTCGTGACACGCGAGCCACCGTGGTCGCGCAACGAGAATTTTTAACGAAGTCACAGAGCCGCGAGAGAGCAATTAATTCGTGGCCGTGAGTGGCTCGTGACCGAAGCTTGACCAGCGTCGAATGCACTTTTATCGTTGGGATTTATCGTCTTGAGACGGTCAGCTCGGTCCCGAAAAATATTTTACAACCGTTACCGGTTGGGTCGAGCACCTGATTCCCAAGCGTCGGATTACGAGTGTCTCCGACGTCCGCGAATCCGAGCAACCGTAGGAATTTCTCAGCGCGTAAATGGCTGTTGCGTGTGACTCACCAGTCTTGTTGCTGTTGCTGCCGAAAGAATGCAGTTTTTTCCAGCCTTTCCAACCCTTTTTCCAGATCATAGCGGCCTTCGTTTTGCGCTGACCGCCGGCCAATTCCGGCGTACTGGTTTTACCCATTCCTCGCCTCAAGGACCCTAGTCCGGACCTAAGCAAATAACAATTAAAAATATTACCTCTCGCTTCTTAAGACCGTACAATTGCTACGCTACGAGTCAGTAGTTCTCATTACATACTAATGTAAATAGAATAGTATTTGGGTTCTGAAACTCTGATAGGTTACCATCTGATATTAAAAAGATTGTTCTAAATACAAAGGTTGAAAAATACAGCCTTAAAACTATAATTACAATTTCTATCAACCTGTAACTTGCACTGGAGCTTCCACTGAAGCCACTGTCCATGTCACAGCCAACAGGCGATAGGAGGTCGTCGGTGGGACTGACCGAAGATAACAGCTCCTCCGTGGACGCTCCCCGTTGATCCTGCGGCTCATCCTCGTCGTTGTTGTCGGCCACGGTCGGCATCAGCATCGCCTCCACGCTCAGATTTAATTCCCCCAGCACTCGGCGATGCCGTGACTGGACTCGCCGGACCTCCTCCGCCACCAGGGACCTCCTCGAGCCGTGCAACGCTCGGTGGCATTGTCTGCTAATGAATTGAACCGATTAGCCCGCGAATAATGAATCGATAGGTTCGCGTACGAAACTGCTCGCAACACAACGTATAATCGAAATCTGCACTGTATTACTAACGAGAAAAATTCCCTATAAGTGGATAGGCAAATACTTCTACAAGGAATCAGAATGGGAAACCCAAGTCTCTTCATTCTGACAAATAATCAAATACCCTATTACAGGACACTAATTTGGTAATGATGCGCGATAGGACATAATTTTAGATGTTATAGAACTCTGACATAAATAATACTTCTACCTTAGTATCAAAGGATAGGGGGAGTATTGGCTTAGACGCTGGGATATTGGGAGTCAGTCGAGGACCGTATGCAGACGGAAGGGACGTCGAGTGCTTGCGAGAAGAACGGTCCCTCTGGCGGCCAGTACAGGAAGCTCTACGATAGCTCTAAACCTCATTGACCGTTCCAGACTCGCGCCCAGGGAGCTTTCGTTCCAAGTGCTCTCGTGAACGCATCCTATTCACGTGAACGTTTAAAAGGAACATCGGGTCCCGTCAGAGTCGCATAATAATTTACTCGGGAATCGGACTCGATGTGAATGGGTATTTATCCTGTCCCGATGAATGACTTAGTGGATGCTGCACGGACAATCTACGACCGTTGTTTTCTTATTGTCCCGCGACTTAATCACCGTCTCATGGCATCCGGTGCGTGGCGCGTCGAATCGGGCCAAGCAGTCGGGAAGCTTGTTGTCCACTTAAAACCGCATTCACTAGCATCAGTGAAGTTCACTTCGCGTCCAACCGACGTACGCGCGTATTCATCAACCATTTAGACCGAATGAAACGTAATTCTCGCGCGCTATCATCGGTGCTCGTATCGACCCCTAAGAAGCCACCGGCGACACCCACCCATTGAAACCCGACACCCTCTTCCTGTCAGGATGTGTTTCCCTCTAGATACTTTCTCCCTAGTTACCGAAACCTCCTACAGAGGTTTCCTAACCTAACTCAGCAGGCTATTGTTAAAAATGATAATTGTAAAATTAAGAATTAATCGAGATCACCGATTCTTTTTTCCAAGGTTACCAAGAATCTTAGCTGGGTCGATTTTAAGAACCTTTGTACGGATTTAGTTTCTCACTTGATCTCGGATATTTCCTCGTAAATGTTCTCCTCCGTTCCGTATCGGGTCATGTAGGTGTGCCTTTTGAACGATTCCGGCCGTAGTGGTTGCTGTTGTTGCTGCTGTACACGATTCAGGCCCACTTCCGGCGGATACGCGCCGTGCAGTCGGCTCGGGCCAGGTTCGTAGTAAGCGTACGAATAATCTTGAAGGGGATGCTGGTGAGAAGAGCTAGTCATAGGCGAAGCCACCGACGCAGGCTCCGCCAGTCCCGTCTGAAAGAAAATCGAAGAATCGTTCGTTAATTATCGACAAGAACCACGGTCGCTTGTAATTAGCTCCTTATTTAATATTAGGATGACTGGTGAAAGAGTTCATTTAGTATTTTAAATTCCTTGGATAAAGTAGCTAAATAATTATCTATATTCAACGCGTTCTTATATTTTTTATTTATAAATGTATCGATAACGACTGCGAGCGTTTCGAGCCGCAAGTCGAGGCACGGCTGCCCTAGCGTTACGAGTAGAATTTAGTATTGCATGCTGGAAATTATACCTGACTGTGGGGAGGTGGATAAGGCGGTGGCGGTGGAAATTCCAGGTTGACTCTTCGCGGTGTCG